TGTGGAGCTCTTGTAGGTTCTCTGCTGTAAATAGAGAGAAACCAGGGCCTTGGAGAGCAGGCTTAGAGGTGGATGAATTCCTGGGCATATGGCTGAGAGTGGCATTGGAAGATTGATGCTATTGCTGAAAGCCCCATCTCTCCTCTGCAACTTTGTTGAGGAAATCTGGCTTCAGGGTTCCAGGACAGCTCCCTACATTTTCAAGCCTGTCATTTTCCCCATTAACTGCACGGCAAACACTGACCAGCGACTTGTAGGGCTCGATGAAGGAAGAAGGACGCCTTAGTGGGGAAAGCCGAGTAACAAACCTCTGTCATCCTGCTGCTGCAGAACTCTGGCATGGCAAAGAAGCGCTTGGGGGCCTGAGACTCAACTCCAGGAGCTTCCCTGGGCGCATCTGTGAGGCACAGAGAACCGACTAGAATGGACATACCGAGAGAAGGAAAAGCAAGTTAAATCCCAATGTGGGACGACTTAGAAGGTGGTGGTAGAGGGAAAGCAGTGGACCCAAATGGCCAAGTGCCATTCAAAAGGGGAGTTATGAGGCAGAGACCAAAGAGATTGATTGGGTGGTGGGCAGGCCTCAGGAAGACGGTCAGGAGAAGAGAAAAACCGGAACCCTTGCAAAGTTTGCAAGCACCCTTCCTGCTTCTCTCCCTTTCAAGCAATTTTTTTTCTCCCATGGAAAACTAAATATAATTTAAAACTACATAAAAATAAAATGAACAGAGAATGATCTGGTCTTTTGCTGTTAGTATACTTTTGAGTCCAAGTTAGGAGGTAACATCAGAGGACATCTAGAACTGCTGGTGGGTGTTTTGGCTGTTGCTGAAAGAGATAGGATAAATGAAATCCTCCAGCACTGTCTTTTAAGTGTTAGTGAGTCTTGCTTTACATTATTCTGGGCAGAGTGTGTGTTTATGTAGTAGATAAAGTCCAGCAGACACCTGAACCATGAATTCATGTTCCAGAGAATAGTTGCATATTTTACTGAACACCTGGATCATTACTAGCCTTCCTATGGCACAATGAATCTGTCACATGGTAAATGGCCAGTCTTCACAGCATCCAATGGGGAGGCCTGGAGACACACCATCTATAACGCTGCTGCTGCTTTTGAGAACACACGCAGGATCACTCTCGAGGAGAAAAGACAACGCAGAAAGAGTCGCGTCTTATTGATATCACCTGGGGAGTCTTTCTGCTGTACCTTCTGCAACCGTACTTGTCTATCTCGCATTGGCCTTTTTAGCCATCAGCGTGCTTGTAGCAAGCGTGGGTAGAGCCCTTCTCAAATCTTCGTTTGTGAAGCCCAGCCATGAAAGTCCAGCTCCCACACATGAACACACACACACACACACACACACAACCTTTCCATGTATTTAGATAGTTTTAGCAAACAAATTAATGTTCATTGGTTATAAATCACATAATGCTCTCTAATAATTAGTATTCTATCCTCTGTTGGTTACTGATTTCTCACTTCTTATGGTAATTAATCCACATTTTTCAGTCTTTTTACCAGATAAGGAGTCACATACTGAATCGTCTTTTTTGGACTCTTTTTTTATCTTCTGGTTTCTGCAAAACGTCCTTGTGGTACATAAATTCTGCACTCCTTGTGTCCAATTTCAGCAATACACCTCTCTCTTCCAGGGTTTGTTCACTGAAGCATATAAAGTTTTGCATAGCAAAACTTAATGTTTCAGTAATTTTCCCAAGCTCTGTTCACAGAAAAGTACATTGTGACAAACTTTGCTAAATGCTGACTAAGACTAATTTAAGAGTAACACTTAAGTGTCATAAGTCACTGTTTGTGACTAATATATACTGGCTATGATTAATTTAAACAATTAATTAAAAGTTAATTGAAATCAATAATTAAAACAATTAAAAAGTTATATAACTTCCAACTATTCCCCTGTTGGAAGTGATCTTAGTGTTTTCTTTTAAGATTACTTCCACTTAAATAATTTACTATTTAGCAAAATTTAAGAGATAAAAATATAATAAATGCTAATAAACTACTAAACTATTAATAAAACCTATTAGATCAAGCTTATTACTTTATATCAGAGTACTTCATATCTGAAAACATGGAATCCAATCTTTTTTAACTTAAACTTATCTTACTGAAATTATCCAGTACTTTAACAGTACTAATGAAGATCCTTAACACTATGTGAACAAATTTAAGTTTATAAAAAGATTCCATGATACAGAGTAGCCAGCCATCCTTCTGAGACCTTTTTAAGTTTTAGATAAGACAGTTTTCATTGGATCTGCACATTCTGTTACATCCTATTTTGCTAATTTGGAATAAAATCCATAAACGAACAATTAATACCAAAACTAAGATAATTATGCCAATCAGTTTTCTTGTGATTGCACTTAAATTTGGGATCTGTGGTGTTATCCAACTAAACAGATCTTCCCCTTGATTTTCTTGTACTTCATGAAAGATTCTAGTGTTCTTTCTAATTTCCTCCAAATCAGTCTGAATCCTCAAATTCTGATCTGGAGCTGTTCAGTTTTGTTTGACTACTTTTGAAGGGCTGGTAATTTCTTGTAGCAAATAAATTGGATCATTTGTTTGGTTTTCTGTTTGTTCAGTAACTCTGGATATGCTCACTGTAGCTTTCTCCAATTCTGGTACCCCTAACCATGGTAGAAGTCCTCTCACAAATTTGTGGAACCCAAAGGACCTCTCAACTATTAGATTTAAATTTCATTTGTGTCTTGTTATAAAAGTGTTGTTGAACACTGAAGGTCTTAATAATTGCTAATTTCAACTGACAGAATCTGTGGATCTATGAAGAGTTGGGCTGCTTTTCTCTCCAAAAGAAGCATCACTCCAGTGAGAGGAAGAGCACTAGAGAATACACTTCATACTGGAAGTCCCATCATCTGAATACTTTAATCTGAATGAGCAGGAAATTGGAAACAAATCCAACAGTAACTGCTTTTTGTTATCAGTGTGCATTAGTTTTAAGTGTGAATTTTTCTTCCAAGGGTCAGGTAGTATTTGACCTGTTTTTTTCATATTGGAGTAATGGCCAGTCTCTTCGCGAACGAAGAACCGGGGAAGGTTTTTACACCTTCCAGCCTGCGCACTGGATTTTTTAGGTGAGACACAGTGTGCGCGGAACTGAGCCCACCCTTTAATCCTGAGGTTCATCTGCCGGGGCCAAGCACGCTTGGACGGTGGCAGCGAGGTCCTCAGGACGTAGATGGATTGCCTTACAGGGCTAACGAGCTCCATCTGCCCGGGGAGGGGCCCTGACCAGGACTCGAACCTGGGTC